AAACCTTATAAATATGATGACTATGCTTACATATGCTTAATAAAAGATAATTATTACAAATAAATTATTTGTTTATTATTAATTGATGTTTATTTTATTAGTATGTATGTATTTATCTATCTTTTTAATTGAAAAATATAAAAAAAACAAAAAACACCAAAAATAAATAAAAAAATTATAAGAAATTTTTCATGGTTACTATTACATTTCTTCATTTATCAATCACTAATCATTCATTTTGTTTTGATTTGTATTTACTTTGAACTTATAAGATTAAATAATAAAATAATATTAAAACATTTTTAATATATTTTTAAAATTTTAATTTAAATAATTTTATTATTTAATTTTGTTTGATTATAATAATATATATTGAATAATTTCAAAAATAAAATAACTATTTAAAAACTAATAATTTCTAAATTCTTTTTTATTTTCTTAAAATTAGGTAATATTTTTATTATTAAAAATTCATTTTTAATTATTTTTTATCATTACCATTTAATATTATTTTATTAAAAAATATTAAATTAAACATTAAAAAAAGAAAAGAAATTTCTAAAAGAGAAAAGATGAATTTAAATCTGAATAATCTAGTATTTGGAAAAACTCTTGGATGAAAAAAAGAAAGAGGAAATAATAAAATTGTGTTATTAAAAAAATGATTTTTTTTGAATATTTAATTTTAATTTTTCAATTATTAAATCAATCATATTATTTTCTTATAATCGAAAATTATTATTTATTATAGCTTAATTGGATAAAAACAAATATTAAGAATATTAAAAATAAAAATCTTTTATTACTTTCAAAAATTTTTAACTTAAATATTAAAGTAATAATCGAAATTTTTAAATAAAATGTTTTGTAAATATTTTTTTTAGTAAAATAAACTCTGATGCCATTAAAATAAAAAGATAAATATAATTTTTTGATAATAAAAAAATAAAAATATTATTTATTTTCTATATCTAATTTAAAGTGATATTTATTATTTAAATTTTATAAATCTTTAAAGTCTGTATTTATTAATTTAACATGTGAATTAAAAATAAATAATTTATTAAAAATATTAAAGCCAATTTAATTTATTAAAATACTTAAAGTAAAATTGTTGAAAATTTATTTTTCATTTTTAATAAAAGATTTTGAGAAATCAAACCTGTAGCACTTTACAAATTGATATTTTTCACTTTACAAAAATTTGTGATAATTTTTTTGATTGTTGAAATTTAATTTATTAATTTAAAAATATTATATGTTAATTTAAGATAATAATACAAATTATTATCAATAATTTTTTTGATAATTTTTTTTAGATTCTTCTATTAAAAAAAATGTTTATTTATCAAGAAATATTTTTTTAATTGTTATTATTTTGTAAAAAGTGAGAATTTTGTTATTTTTCTAATTTTTTTTTATTTATTTTAATATTTTAAATATCATATTAATCCAATTTAAAAAATTTTTAAATGTCTGGCTGCCTAATTTTAAAATTAAGGTAAATATTATTTAAGTTTTAAAAAACTAAGTTACTTTATTTTAAATGAATTTTTATTTAAAACAAAAATCTTCTTAATCTTGGATATTTAATTTACTTTTGATTTTTTTAAATAAATCTAGATATGTAATTTTCTCATCTTCTCATTTTTAAGATTTACTATCAAATTTTAAAATTAATAA